TCCTCAGATCCTCAGACCACAGAGAAGAAAAGAAAAGAAAAGAAAAGAGCAGGTTTGTGAGGCTGTTTCCCTGTCACATTTCCTAAAACTCAATGATGGACTATTCCTTTCTGATTGTGCGACCACCAGCCCTCAGCAAGTCACTTAGTCTGTCCCAGTCTCATTCCCCTAACTGTAAAACAGCATTAATATTATCCCTTCACCAGGTTGCTATAAGAATATGTTAGGGAGAGAGGGAGGGAAGGCATCAGTGGCAGAACATGCTCAGAATTCCAAATCCTTGACCTAGAACATGTAGATGATTGAAAATACCAAGTTTCCACATGGTGCCTACAAATGCACTTTGACACCAGCTGGCTACATTAAGGGCCTAACATAGATGATGTTGTAGTATTTATTCTCTACAAACCTTACTTTACTGAACCCTGTTCCATCCTGGGAAAATAATGGGTGTCTCTGGTCAAATGATAACAGATATAGACACTAGTTGGTGTCTTAGTTAGGGTTATATTGCTGAGATGAAACACCATGACCAAAATCAACTTGGGGAGGAAAGGGTCTATTTGGCTTACACTTCCACATTGTAGTCATCACTGAAGGAAGTCAGGACAGGGCTAGAATCTGAAGGCAGGAGCTGATGCAGAGGCCATGGAGGGATGTTGCTTACTGGCTTGCTCCCCATGGCTTGCTCAGCCTGCCTTCTAACAGAACCTAGGACCACCAGCCCAGAGATGGCACTATCCACAGTGGGCTGGGCCCACCCCCCATCAATCATTAATTAGGAAAATGCCTTTCAATACCCAATTTTATTATCTAGAAATTTGCATTTCCATTTATTGTAAATAGTCTCTGTCATCTTTGGTGAGAATTGGGTCTTAGTGGCTGAGAGCAGTTGGAGGAGGACCACTCACTTGCCTCTGCCTTGCAGCCGTTCATGTCCCAAATTGTGCTAATTACACAATATAGGTTGTTTCTCAAGAAAGAGGAAATGCTTTGGGCTCCATGGCCCGCCCCTAGAATTACGTCCTTTAATTCCCTGATGGGGATAAAAGGAATGGCCCAAGAGCAGTATCTCAGGCTGAAGAAAGAAGGGCAGGCCCTTCAACTCCCCTGATGTCTGCCAGCTTTTGACTGCCTGGCCTCTGGTCTTTGAACAGCTGCACCTCTATTGACTGATTTGAGCAGACCCAAGTTTTGTCACAGGGAGGTAGAAGTGTATTTGTCCTTGTCACAGGGCTTCTGTAGGGTTTATAATGACTGCTCAAAAGCTAGTGTTGATGATACGGATGGCTTAGCAATCAGCATTCGAAACCACTGACAGTCCAGTCCAGTCCAGGTGGACTCAGGAAGGCTTTGTAGCTAGGAAGGCCTAGCTGGGGTTTCAGAACCACTACTGATGTTTCTGTCTCCATCCTCCCCCCTACCCCCACATGGCTCTGTACTGAGGAGAGCCCTTACCTCCCTTATACAGCCATTGTTTTCTTGAGTGTAAGATGAGACACAGAATGAATGGTTGTGGTTTAGTGTCACTCAAAACACACTTGTTTTTAGCATAAATATTTTTTCAGTGTTTCTTTGCCGGCAAAGTCATAAGAGAGGCTCTCAGCAATTCACTGAGGTTTTCCTCCTGGGAGGCACTGGCAGGAGAGGTAAATTACTTCAAAGCCGTGGTGACAGTCATTGACGAAGCAGTATTCCCTTTTTCAGAAACACTTTCGCAGGACTCTGATTTCCAAAGGGCAGACTGAGCTGGTAACTGCACTCTGTCCCCCAACCCCCAGCGCACCTGAAGCAGTTGATTGATACGGCTAAATATAACTAGTCTCTTAATTTGGAGGGCACCCCTTTCCCCAAACAGATGTTGGATGTTGTCACCCAGAGGACCATTTGCTGGGAGTTTGGATCTCATCCTCACAAGTTTAAGAGGTGGATTCTCTAGGAGTTGCCCTTGCAGCCTCCAGTGAGGTCCCTGGGTTAGTCAAAGGCACACACACTCTTGGAAAGAGTTTGAGACTCCAGTCTCCTCCTGGCTTCCAGTTTTAAGATGTGATCTCCTCCCTTCCTTATGACACTAGAGGCCAAACTAGTGGGATCACATGTAAGTGACCTCCAAAACTGTAAGCTGAATGTACAAAGCCAGTCCTTCTCTGGTGTATTGTTACTATAATGAAAAATAGATTGAGAAAATGGGAGCCTGAGTTCTTATTATAGTCTGCACATGGTGCTGGACCTGGCTCTTGGAGATTTAGTACCTGCCCTGCTGAGCTTCGTCGTGCTTTGACTGCTAAGTCCTTGTGTTTGTCAGTTTTCTTCTTCCGGAATGGGACTGTCCATGTTGTTCCTATCAAAGGAGGTCTTCTGCCTTGAGTTTCACATGCTTAATGATTATAAGTTTACCTTGAATCTCAAAGGCACCAACTGGTCTGATTTTGCCCTGTGAGATGCGCAGGAGCCTTAGGTATCAGGGACAGAGTGCTGTGGTTTACTGCAGTATGGTGTGCCCTTCCCAAAGGTTTATGTATTGAAATAATCCCCAGAATGATGCAGGAGGAGAGAGGAGAGGAGTCAGGTGGGTGTGTCTTAGGGTTAGATGCACTTATCAGGGCAGATCCCCCATGGCTGAATGAATCCTAGTGACTTTATAAAGAAGAGAGGGTTTGAGCATATATCCAAAGGATACACATTCACACCACAAGGACATTTGCTCAACTATGTTCATATCAGCATTATTCATAATAGCCAGAACCTGGAAACAACCTAGATGCTGTCATTCGAAGAATGGAGAAGGAAAATGTGGTACGTTTACACAGTGGAGCACTACTTAGCGGTAAAAAACAATGACATCTTGAAATTTGCAGGCGAATGGACACAACTAGAAAAAGCCATCCTGAGTGAGGTAACCCAGACCCAGAAAGACAAATATAATATGTACTCACTCATAAGTTGATGTTAGATATAAAGCAAAGGACAACTAGCCTATAGGTCACAACCCCAAAGAACCTAGGTAACAAAGAGGACTCTAAGAGAGACATGCATGGATACACCTAGGAAGGGGAAAAGATAAGAACTCCTGAGTAAATTGGGAGTGTGGCAGGCAGGGGGAGGGTGGAAGGGGAGAGAGGAGGAGGAGGGAAGGGGAGTAGGGAAAATGTATAGCTCAAAAATAAATAAATAAATAAATAAATAAATAAATAAATAAATAAGGAAAAATACAGGCAAGAAAAGAGGGACCAGGAGAAACATGTATACATGCATACTTGTCTCTTATAATGTCTTGCAGCACCTTGGGACTATCACCAAGAAGGGATCAGATGTAGCCCTTAGATCCTAGGCTTCAGAACCATGGTAGCAATGAGCCTTCTTGTGTACTTTCCCAGTCTGTGAGATTGTGTTGTTGGCAACAAAAAAGATAGATAGAGACATCCTTCCCATGCTGTCCCAAACCCCCATCACCTGACTGAGCCTGCTTCTCCCTCCGGGGACACTTCCCGCACTGTGCCATGAGATCCCCACCTTTCTTAGCTATTGGAGTTTGAGGTATAGGATGAATGAGCCACTGCTGTCTCAGCAGAGACACAGGCTGGATTTCTAGTTCTCTCAGGAGAGCAGCCTGCTCTGACTACACTGAGGGCCCCCAGCTAGTCTCATCTCCCCCTCTCCTTGGTAATACCCCCTTTGAGCAGTTTCCAGTAACAGTCCCTGGTTATAGCTTATCTGCTGCTGGGAGGAATGCAGCCACAGCCACAAGTTTATCAAGAATTTAGCAAGTTTATCAAGTAGAGCAGGAGAACATAGCATTGGTATTCACACTTCACATTGGCCTTTCTACACTGACGAATTTAGAGCCACTGGAATTCTCTTTTCCTTCTGAAACTGTTCTGTGAAGCAGGGAAGAGAAAGTACAGCTACCAACTATGCCATTAAAAACAAGAGAAAAAGCGAAACAGGCATTTGTGGCCATGGGCATTTCCTGACTCCACCTTAGCAAAAATCTCACAGCCCTCTCTGAGTCATGAGCAGTTCTGGCCAGTGCTTAATAATCTGCTTGGCGTCAGAAAAGGCTACTGATAGGGATGAGTGCGCCTCCTGAACTCATTGCTCCTTATCATAGATGTGTATTTTTCTGTTTAACTCAAGTAAATGATCAGAAACGGTGCTCATAGACTCTGTGCTGCTGTGCGTTATGGCTCCCACGCTGGTTGGTTTGCTGAATGCTCATTTTCTGTTGCTCTGGGTGTTGTCTCGTGCAGAACACATACACAAACGCAGACAAACTGTTAGAAGCAGCAGAGCAGCTGGCTCAGACCGGGGAATGTGACCCCGAAGAGATTTATCAGGCTGCTCATCAACTTGAAGACCGGATACAAGATTTTGTTCGGCGAGTTGAACAGCGGAAGATCCTGCTGGACATGTCCGTGTCGTTCCACACCCACGTCAAAGAGGTAACGCTTCATATGATGACAAAACAGAATCTGACTGACAGGGTCTTTGAATTTGTTGGAAGGGATCCTAATTTTGTCATGATGAGAGACATTGGATGCAAGATGGCAGGCCGGTGTTAGTACAGAATGCGCTGGGGCGACTGGAAGCAAGCTGGACTTCAGTGTCACAGGGATGCACATCTGCCTTTGTTGGAGCTGTCTGTAGGTGGGGGGTAGAGGGGAGACTTGTGGGTCAGGAGATGAGTGGGGAAAACAAAACAGTGACATTCCTTTAGAGAGGAACAGTGCTCCATGCACATAACATGATCAGGCAGCATCTGTGTGCTGCCTGGTCCTTCAGTGAAAGCCGTGATAGTCTTCTCATCTTAGCAAACTACTCTCACACACTCTTAAAAGTTATATTACATTGCTGCGCGTTGGATGCACACGCCTTTGATCCCAGCACTTGGGAAGCAGAAGCAGGCAGATCTCTGTGAGTTTGAGGCCAGTCTGGTCTACAAAGCTACACAGAGAAACCCTGTCTCCAAACCTCCACCCCCAACACCCCCCTCCACAAAAAAAGTTATATTACATTTTATTGAGTTTAAATATTACCATAGTAAACATGGTACGGATGGCAGTAGTAAAAATCTGTTACTGTTGTTTTATTTTACTGTTTGGCTCTTTCTTGGGGGCCCGTCACCCAGCTCCCAAATAAATCACGTGGAAGCTTTTTCTTTCTTATGAATGACCAGCCTTAGTTTGGCTTGTTTCCAGCCAGCTTTTCTTAAATTATCTTGTCTACCTTTTGTCTCTGGGCTCTTCTTTCTTTACTTCTGTATACCTTTCATTATTTCTTACTCTGTGACCTGCTGTGTAGCTGGGTGGCTGGCCCCTAATGTCCTCCTCCTCCTTTTCTTGTTCCTCCTTGATCTCTCTTATTTCCTGATCCCTCTTTTTCTCTTGTTTATTGTCTCTGCCTGCCAGCCCCTCTTGTCCTTTCTCCTGCCTTGCTGCTGATTGTTCAGGTCTTTATTAGAACAATCAGGTGTTTGAGGTAGACCCAGTAACACAGCTTCACAGGGTTCAACAAATGCAACCTAAAGGAATGCAACACATCTTTGTGTCATTAACCAAATGTTCCACAGCACAAACAAATGTAACACACCTTAAAATAATATTCCACAACAAAAGTCCTTTTTTGTGCCTGTGGCAACATACTTATCCCAAGAGATAATGTTATTTGGAATGTGAAAAATAGGTAGATACCAAGCATACTGTACATAACACAAACATTATACATATATGTACCACAAATAACAATACAGATCGTATGCATATGTAAAAAGTACTTAGTGGATATAAAGCTACATTAGAGAAACTACTATGTTTCCTTTTTTTCTGTTTCTGGAAGTAGAGTTTTGCTATGTAAGCTATTCTGACCCTGAATTCACTATGTAATGCAGAATAGCTTTGAACTTGCAGCAATCTTCCTGCCTCAGTCTCATGAATGCTTAGATTATATGATGGCATTACTACACCTGGTTTATTTTAAGAGATATACATAAATATATAACAAACTCAAGTTTTCTTTTAGAAGACTAAGGAAAAACATGTGCCACAAAGGACCTTTACAAAATGCTGTGACATACTGTGATACTTCTTGGTTCTGGGGTAGACACCAGAATAGAAAGCAACCACAGCCAGCATCTTCCTCCACTCCCAATTATACCACAACCAAGGCAGACTTGAAAATATTTAGAGTCCGTTTTTCCCAGAAAACATGTTCAATGGATATTTTTCCACACTGCTTCCAGCTTGAATGTGTGGTCACTGCACTGAGTTTCCGGATCACCTGGTCCTTAGTAGGAACCACCTCCTGCTGCTCCAGCTCAGCCTGCTCCAGACCCCAGCCTCCCTGTAGCCTGATTAAGATTGTCCCCTGCTCTTGACTTATGTGTCACGTCCATCATGTCTAGATCCTCACAGTTGGGGCTGTATTCTTCCTCCTGCTGATGTTTTACTTACTTCTCCTCCAGGGATCCAACCCAGCAACAATGCAGTATCCCCAGATCTATGGTACCTTCCTCCCAGGCTGGGTCTTACTGCCCCCCTCCCCACCCTGTCCACAGTTAGTTGCTTTTGTTGACATTTTTCTAGAATTCTCTACACTAGCCTGTGACAACACTAGCCATGTCGCCTTAGGATTCTGTGTTCTTATGTTGTCTGATTTGTGGTAGTTACTCCACTTTTACTACATATTTCATATCAAAGTGGAGACAGGAATAGGGTCACAGTTGATAAGGCATGACAGCCATCCAGGAGCAGTAAACAGGATGGATGGCATGCATCCAGCCAGTCCCGTGACCACACAGGGCACTGATGCTCCAATGTCTTTGATGCCATGGGAGAGGTGGGAAGGGTGGTAGGCACTGAGGGAATTGACAGCAGATTGAGAGAGTAAGGTGTATCCTTACCATGGTAGATGGTGTGTGGTACCTGCCTGAATCGAATGCCTGGGAATCCTCTTCAGTGGCTGAGCAATCCTAGGGACAGGGGCAGTGTCCTTTGAGATAGAAGTCTGTGGTACAGATACCTTGTCTACTGTGCCATGGTTTCCACAAAGCAGACATATCAGGACAGCTGAGCAGAAAGTGGTTTGTAGAGGATGAGGCTTATTGTTGTTTTTTTTTTTTTTTGTTGTTGTTGTTGTTTTATAGCAGCAGTATCATTTTTAAGGAAAAATATTATAAAAGAGTCTCTAGGCTTGCAAATTATTTTTAAATGGAAACACCTTCAGTTTTTATAGGTGTTCACTCTGTGACCTCTAGTATCCATATGTCTGCAGGCTAAGAAGGTCCCAGTCCATCTTCTGGGTGATGTGTTTTTCTCCCACACCCAGAAAAGGTTCGGGGGTCCATTCTTCCCCTTTTATAGGTGGGACCATCATGGCAGGCATATGTACCTCAACTTCTTCCTCTTAGATAACCCAGGATAAAGGACTATCTGATGGCTAGTGAGAAACACATAGCAGGACACACATGTGCTAGGTGGCTTACAGTGTAGCCAGGGACTATATCCTGTAGGCCGGCACTAGCAAGGATTTTCTCCTCCAAGTGCTTAGGCTTCAAGTTAGTCCCAGAGTTCTGCTGAGAGGACTCGTTCTTCCTGTGTAGCCCCACAGTGTCCTACTTCTGCACTGCTCGCGCCCCTCCCCAGGAGGGAACACTTAGTAGATTCATGCTAGGAGAAAGGTTGCTTTCAGTTGTGTTTTACAAACAGCTTATGACTCAGTCCTACTGAAGTTTAGATGAACCGTAATCAATTTAAAGTGAAGGTCAAAATTACGACAAAGAGCAAGAGGAAGGAAACACAATGATGGCATTGATAGCTGTTGGCATGACGTCGTCAAGTAAATGACAGGCCGCTAACAGACACATTGTGTAAGCCACTCTTCTCAGACATTTACCTTGAGAAAGAACCTTATCTGTCACAGGCAAGTTCATAGACCTTTGAGAAAGTTACCTGATAAGGCCCTCCAGACCCAGAAGGTGCCCTCTACACGCACAGTAATTGTTCCTTGATTCTCTCTCTACTGGGTGGGTGTCACTCCTCACGGTGTGGTTAGTTTCTGGCTCATGAGACAATCCCATAGCAATTCACTCTGCAAAGGCCCAAGTGAAGGCTGGCTAGTTCAGGTGTCTGTGGGGATCCCACCTAGAAAAGTGGCTGGTGGCTGGCTCTCTGGACATCAACCTAAGATTCTGGCCCAAGACCTCCAGATTATGGCCACTCTACCTTAGGATTCTGTGTCATTTGTCTTTTCTGTTAGTGTTGGTAAATGACTTCTCTATGTCTTATTGTGTCTACTCATAAGCTGAATGGTCTGTGGCCTTAGTCCTACCCTGGAGAAGGGGACCGGCTTGACTCTTGTTCCTGAAATAGAGAAAAGGACTTATTTCCACAGAAGGCAACTACCTGACCTCAAACTATCAAGCGAGACCGATGTCTGAAGTGTGATGGCAGCTGTGGTCACCACTGAGGCATTAGCTTGAGTGTCACCTTCATGCTAGATTCGGCAGCCTCAGTTTCCCCCTCAAAGCCAGATTTAGAAGTATTCCAGGATACCTCCTCCAGAGGTTTTCATGGGCCTTCTCCCCCCTTTCAGAAGGCTGCAGGGAACTCAAGTGTCCTTGCCACCCTCTCAACCACATTGTTTTTTTCTTAGTGTTTTTTAAGTAGTTAAGGAGTTGTTTGTTGGCCTAACATGAATGTGAACTTTGTTGGGGAGGACTCTGAGCCTTCTGCGTGCAGCCCTTTCCTGTCAGTCTTGTTACCTTTCGGTACCATTTGTGACATTTATCCACATCAATCCTGACTATAATCCGGACCTCCTTTCCTATTGAGTGATTTTTTTTTTTTCATTTGTTTATTTGGTCATGACTCATTCTTTTCACTCTGCCATTGTGAAATGCCCAAGCTAATGCTTCAGTGATAACCACAGCTGCCATCACACTTCAGACATCGGTCTCGCTTGATAGTTTGAGGTCAGGTTCCTTTGTGTTCCACTGTGTAGCCTCTTCTACAAGCTTGTGAAATAAAACATCAGCCTGCCATCTGATCTTAGGTTTAGTGCCGGGAGTGATATTTTTCGTTTTGGATACAGTGAAAAAACATTACTACTTTCACCCATTTCTGTTCATTCAATTTCATTCTCAGAGTTATTTCGTGGCTTAATTACTAACTACCTTTGACATTCATGGGTCACTTGATGCAAGTAGGTGGCAACATCAAGCTTGCCGCCAGTTTGTTTCTGGGGCTGATTCAGTGGCCCGGCACTGACTTCTGTTCTCAGAATCCCTGGTCCCCAGGAAGGATCACTCCCCCCTGAACCAGGCTGCTGCCATCCTGGGTGGGTTAAGTAAAGAAACCTGGCTGGCCTTCTGCACATTTGTTGCTGAGCTGGACACATTTTGGTTTTGAGCAATGTCTGGGAAAAAGAGAACTTCTCATTTTATTCA